AGAGTACCCAAAGAGAACCCACGCAAGCACAGGGAGAACATGCAAACTCCGCACAGAAAGGTCGCAAACTTGTAACCTTCACGCTGTGAGACAATGGCACTACCCAATGCACCACCATGCTGCCCACATCCCATATTCTGTTTTTCTCCAATACATGTGAGGCAGTACAAAGGCGGTATACAGTGTTAGGCAATCAAGTTTACTCAAAAGAAAGAGAACAAAACAGCTGCTGGGCTTTTTTATAAGTTCTGTATACAGTACCTAATTGAGCATTGTTTCTGCATCTGTGAAATAATTCTGCAGGCAAAATGCTTGATAATTCTAACAAACCCACGTCAGACAACACATCCCCACATTAAACAGAGATTCACCAATCACTCAGCCAAGGCTGTAAAGCAAAAAAGCCAGAAATTCAATTCAGAGCACTTGTGTTTAAACACACACACACACACACACACACACACACACACACTCTGTTTAACAGTTAGTTTGTCTCTGCCAAATCAACAAAATCTGTCACACAGCAATGCACAGAGTCGATTGTGAAATGAAAATTGTGCATCAGCAAAACGTAGTCATTTCTATGTGACAATGGCAGTGTTATACTACAGTAAATACACTCTCACATACATTAAATACTCAATATGTAGTTAAATGATAACTGAACACAGGGCTCACCTAGTTGGCCAATCAACCAGCCCGTAGAAACTTCAGCCAGTAATTTGTTCCTATAAGAATCTGCCAGTGAGCACAAGATATGGAAGACATTATGAGTTTTTGAATAGTAATGACCACACAGACGTCTTGCTACAGATAGTATCTGTGTGGGCAAACATGAAACCTGAATGGCAACAAAATAAAAAGCTGGACTGCTTGTGAATACAGAAGTGTTCAAGCTCAATGTAAACATGCAAAGTTACCAGTAGGATGAGGAGAGATCATTTGGCGACGAGCTCACGCCCACGCTCCCCTTAAGTAATGCTCCACTAATTTGAAGCAGGTGCACCTCGCCTCCGGGAGCGCACTCCAGCACCTGCAGAGGCGGAGTTGTTGATGGTCCCAGTGCTGGCAGACGAGGTGCTGGGAGTGCACCGATCCGCAGCCACAACAATTCCATCATACACCTTCTCCTCACCTAGCTGGGGGGTATCAGTAGCACAGCTATTATTTCCTCTATAATTCATTTTAATCCATACACCTATCGCCATCCCCTCCTACTGATTCGGTATCACACTGTGAATCCACTACCTCAGCTCATCCCTATTTCCACACGCATCATTCCTGCATCCTGCCAAGCTGTCTGTATAAGATCTGTGTGTCTATCTATCCAAGATCTGACTTGGTCTACTACTTATTTTCAATAGCAGGCTTTGTTGCATACCCTTTCTCCTTTACCCTTCCTCTCACCCACCCCCTTCTCTATGCTCATAGTGAGTGGTATCAGTAGCATGTGTCTCATATTTACTCCATCTGAATTACACTTCCATCTACAAAAGTCAACAGTGAGTGTGTGTGAGAGAGAAAGCCTCAAATAGACACTGTCGGGCTGATCCATCTAATCATGGCCACCGTGCACAAAACATTAGTTCTTTATTTGCAGCAGTCAGAACATGCACTAGAAAATGTGCAGTCCATTAGGGAAGGATGAAATAGCAGTTTTACCAGTGCAGTGAACTAACACTGGTTGTTTTTGAAAATCTCAATGATTTATGAACACTGGTTTTCAGTGATCTTAATAAGTAATTTGATTGTGTGCACATGTGCCTGTGAGTCCTTGGTTGCACTGAAATGTGGAAAAGGGCAGCAAGGCCTGTATGAAAAAGGTAGAGAGGCAGTGTGTTGGTATTTACTAAATACTTAATAAGATGAATTTGTCACAAACAAACAGGGACAGGGGACAGAAATATACTCTGGGAGAATAACCAGTCGTCCCTGTAGTGAAAATTTTATGGTAGTACCCTTTTTAGTTTATTGGCTGTTGCTCTGTAGTCATTGTATCCAGGAATTTGTGTGATTGTGACACCAGACCATTTATTGTGTCAGCATGTTCATAAATATTTGCATGCCTTTCTGTGACTGTTGAACCAGATGGCTAGTACCCTGTATTAACTGGTATCCTGTTGCCCATCTGTTTGAGCATTTGTTACCTGCAATTGTATGTGTGTATAAAAAGAGAAGTAGCGCTCTGTTCTGAGAGCTTCTCTCCATCAGACTGGTTAGAAACTCTGTTTAGAGATCACTCCTTTCTACAGAAATAAATGTGTAATAATTTTCAGAGTTGATGTTAAGTTTTTTTTTTTTTTACACTCACTGAGCCTTAATAGATAATTTTGCCATAATATCCCCCAACCGGAAGGTTGGCGGTTCAATTCCCATTCTCCCCAGTCCACATGTCAAAGTGTCCTTGGGCAAGACACTGAACCCCAAGTTGCTCCCAATGGCCAGAGCAGTGCCTTGCAGGGACAGCGCTGTGTGTGTGTGAGCTGCAGCTGCAGCTGGCTGCTTCAGTCCTGTATCGGAGAGAAATTTCTTGTGTGCAACTTATTATTAAATATTCTCTGCCCGACAGACAAACAAAAAATAGATGTGCGTATGCTTCCATAAACACACAGAAACATGCAAAAATGTATGCACAGTGCCAACTGCCATCACTGGAGCATGATGGCTACAGAAAAAGTTTTTTTTTAATTTTTTATTGCAACACAAAATAACACATTTACAGGACAAAGCACATAACATAGTACATGAGACAACAGACATTAACAAAAGAGACAAAGGGATTATTAATTGAGAGTATTAAGTTGTGTGTGTGAAAGTGTGTAGTGTGTGTGTGTGTATTCAACTCTATGCAGACTGATATTCATTACTTAAGGTAAAATAGAATTAAACCAAATAAACTAGGAAAATGGAGGGGTATAAATGCAAAGGAATGATTGTAGTAATAAAATAAAGAAGAAAAAAAGCTATATCAACAATATACTTTTCCATTCACATACTTATGTATAGAAAAAAAACTTACTTTTGGCTTTTCACATTTAGGGGTCGCCACAGCGAATCATTACACTGACGACTCACATGTTGACATTTGGCACATGTTTTACGTCGGATGCCCTTCCTGACCCCTGATTTGAACCCGGGCTGCAGCGGCGAGAGCGCAGCGCCTTAACCACTAGCCTACCAGGGACAGCTTTCACATATTTACACTGTAACAAATTGCTGTTAAAAAAACGGCCAAATTCCAACAGTAACATATTGTTTTCCATTAAAACGGTACTATACTGTTGAAAACAGTGACTTCTGGGAAATATTTATGGGCAGCCCACACTTTCCCATAAAATACCACAATATACTGTAAATAGCGTTGCATTCTGGGAGTGATGTTAGAATCAACGGTAGAAAGGTGGCGCAAATATGGAAAGTTACTGTATTTCTCAAGGTTGCACGCAGAGCAGACTTGGAGCCAATTTTCATTTGGAGGATTTCCCATTTGATTCCTACATTTTTGAAGCAAATCCCAGGGTAAGGTGAATTACATTCCCTCTGTCTGCTGATGGTCGGATGCCCTTCCTGCCCCCTGATTTGAACCCGGGCTGCAGCGGCGAGAGCGCAGCGCCTTAACCACTAGCCTACCAGGGACAGCTTTCACATATACAATAAAATAATATAAAATGAATCAAGTAAAATATAAGAAATGAGTAGAGAATGCTGTATAAATATGATTGTATATGTGTCCAGTTACAAAATTCTGGGATCTTAATTTCTCATTTGTGATTAATTTGAATAATGGAAAAGTGAAGCTTTTGTCACAGGGTGGTGCATGAAGCTCTCTTGAATGTGGAGGTGTGAACCCAATTAAAGAGCCAGTAGTCTGAGGCAGTAGAACAGAGTTTATTGTCCGCTTCGGGGAGCTCAGGTGCGGGAGAAACAGTCAGAACTGGAACGTTAAACTGTATCGAGGGATCAGGCAAGGAGGGCAAGGCAGAACATCTCTGGTCGGTAGTACAGGCAGGGTCTCAATATCAGAATAGGAGTTCAACAAGAAGGACAAGGCAAAATCATTAGTGGGTAATACAGGCAGGTTTTCGATCTCAGAATGGCAGGTGCTAGACAAAACAGCTGGAGAGTCTCGCAGGACATTTACTTTTTCATTATTGTTTTGTATGTACGCCTGATTAATGTTACTGAATATTTAAAGTACGTTAGTCTTATGGTTTCTTTGTTCAACTAGAAGTATTATTGTGCTTCTATTTTGGGGATTTCAGAATTTCTCCTCTCTTTTCTGTGAATTTTTAAGTTAACACATTTCTGTTCTGCTTTAAGTAGCTCTGTCTATGAGAGGGAAATTGTCCAGTGGTTTACTTTGGCTTAGTTGTAAATAGAAAAGAAAAAAAAGTTATAATTTCCTTGCATGTGTGTGTGTGTGTGCTCGCGCAGCCTAGAAAATAATAGTTAAAGCCTTTTTTGTCAGCATTGCTAATGAGTTGGGATAAGACACACTGAACTAAAATGTTTATTTTTTTTTATTAGCAGTTTTTTTGTTAGTGGTGGATTTGCCATCAAAATGTTCCCATGCCAGTTCTGTGCTAGTGAATGTACCAATGTATGTGCATATGTTAGGCACACAGATTCATATGGGTGTACCAGATTTCAACCAGAACTCCCGCCAGAGAGACTGATTATACTATGGAACAAAAGCGCCAAAGATTGGAGGAGATCTATAGACAGGAAGGTGCAGATGGGGTTGAAAGAGCAGAGGTCCGTCATCTCATGGAGACTACATTCTGTCTACTGCGTCACCATATAAATGCGATTCCAGCTCCTTCCATTGGAGACATAAGGAGCAAATGGCGTTATCTCTTCAATCAGCGATACATGTATGCTTATTTTGAGCTTCTCACAGATCTTAATGTGCTGCGTGATCACAGAATATTTCCGCAACAAACCTACCAACAAAGATGTCCAGACTGTCCTCTCCCAGGGGGAGGACACTGAGGTAGCACTTCATGTGGTCCAGTTGCTGATGGCCCACTTCACACAGACCACAGATGGGTTCATCCTTCTTGCAGATGTAAGTTTGTTTCTCTTTCTTTCGAAATTTTTTTATTGCCTTGAATTGTTGCCATCTTAAATTCATATCATGAACATTATCACTACAATTCTATTGTCTTTTCCCTATAGTCGTCTGCCACAGTGGCTGATGTTGAGAGGACCCTCATGCTACCACCAACTCCTCGTCTAATACTGCTCAGTATGTACTGTATTCATTGAAATTACATTGTTTATGGTATATTAGATGAGCTTTCACATATTTATATCCCAGCAAAGCATGCACATTCTTCCATGTAAAGATATACAAGTTAAGATGCTCTCTGAAATTACTATTTCATGTTTCAGGTGGAACAGAGCATATGACTGCAGGACACTGGATGATCAGCCTTGAGGGCGAGGTCCTATGTGAGGGCATCCAGCCAACATTCGTGACGGGGCTTGCTGCTCTGTTTTCAGTGTACTACATATTTTTTTAATCTGCAGTACCAAGAGGAGGCTGCCTGTACACTAGAATTTATTCAAAGGTAAAGTTTGTGTTGTCCAACAGACCTGTTTCACAGCAGTCATTTCGACATGAAATTGTAGGGTAAACACAGGTGTTATTGATGATATTAAACTTCAATCCCATTAATATCTAATCGAGCCAGATGATATTAATTAAACTCCAATCTCATTAATGTCTAACAGAGCCAGGGTTCTGGTATAGTAATACTAACTCACTGGAAATATTGCTACACATAAATAGAACAGAACCACAACTAATGTCAGTAGTAATACCTGTGTTTACCTGCTATGTCATGTCAAAATGGCTGCTCTGAAAGAGGTCTATTCTCTTTACTTGTCTCTAGTTGCTTGGTCATCATATCCAATTTACTTATGATTGTTTAAGTAAATATATGAGCACCAATAGTCATCCCAACAATATCTTCACAACACTGATATTATGGTATTCCATTAAAAATATTTTGATATGTGATTTTGATCATATGTACGAGCCCTATGTCATATAATAGCAGACTTTTTCTTTTCAGCCTCTAATCTTGGACTAATATGTTTATCAGGCGATTCATTGGTATCATCCCAGAAAGAGGGACCAAGGCCAGCCGGGGTACGATAGTGTCCAAGAGGACAGGGAAGGTTGTTCAGAAGAAGTCTGTCACAGTCAACCACCATGTGTCCACTCTTCTGAAAAATCTAATAGACTTTGAATGGCATTTCATTGGCCAGTAAGTGATCAATACCCTGTTCACATCAACACAGCCACGGTTAGTTCCCAGTTTTTGTCCTAGATTATATATATGTTTTCCTGTCTACTAAATATACTACTCACCACTTGAAAAATGTGGGTATTTATGCTGTAGAAGACTGAAGAAAAACTATGTGAACCAGAAGGGAATATATTCACTTGTCCCAGGACAGGAGTGTTCTTGCATATGTTCAGTTTTGCCTTTTAAGGTCACTTTGTATAAAACAGTCAGCAGAATATTGGCAGACACTTGATCAGATCTAATCTGAATGAACTCAGAATAATCTCTTTGTTTTAAAATAACCATTTAAGTTCAACTAAGAGTTAACCTAAGACTGTTGTCTTATTCTGAAGGGAGGATGTGTCTTGCCAGTGTCTTGAAATTTATTGTATTATAGTGATTTGTCTGATTGAGTAACTTTTTTCATAAATTCAAGTCTGACTGGCTAGATTTTACACCATTTAGATAATGAAAACAAAAACAAACAAAAAAGAGGAAGAAAAGAGAAGAAATAACAAAGGAAATCTTTTTCATATTGTTCCTTCTGTCTAAGCATCTAACTCTAAATCTCTTTCCTTTAAGATTAAGGATCGACTTCCCCGCGACCCTGTTTGGGACTAAGCAGTGTAGATAATGGATGGATGGATGGATGGATTGGACTTCCCCACGACCCTGTTTGGGACTAAACTGTATAGGTAATGGATGGATTATTAAAGTTTTTTTTTTTACATTTCATTTAGATTCATTGATAAACACATTATATTGGCCATTTTGAGTTTACAAATATTTACACAAGGTAACATGCATTCCCATGTTGCTATGACTTGAAGTTTCAGGTGCAACAGGGCAAGTCACAATTAAAGGTTGGATGATCACCTTTGAGGGCCGTGTAATCTCTGAGGGCATCACACCAACATTTGCAATGGGACTTGGTGCTGTCTTTGCAATCTACTACATATTCAACCTTCAGTATCAACATGAGGCAGCCTGCACTCTGGAATTCATTCAGAGGTAAAACCCCTTCATTCCTTGTCATCATTATATGGATATATACAATTAAATTAATGTGTTTGTATTTCTTTGTATAAAATGGTATTAGTACTGTACATTTCAAGCCACAACACACACACACACAGACTGGGTATTTGGTTGGACTATAGGCTTTATAATTCCTTTTGATGTCACTTCTATATGTCATTCAAGTCCACTCTATTAGTGCAATGAAGAAAGACAAAAAAACTATTCATTGCATTTAATTAATGTACACAAAACAGTATGTTGTTGCAACCCCACTCTGATCTTAGACTATTTTGATTTCAGGCGCTTCATTGGTATAAATCCAGAGAGAGGGACAAAGGCCAAAAAGGGCAAGGTTGTCTCCAAGAAGAAAGGTGTGATCGTCCAGAAGAAGTCTTCTGCAGTCAATACACACGTCACCATGCTACTGAAGAATCTGACTTTGAATGGAACTTCATATAGATTGGTCACCTCTTGCTCTCTTTGTTTTGACAGTCTGGCATTCCCACATTAAGCCACAAGAGAACTGGTATTAACTTTATAAGCATTAGCTTGGAGTGTATACTGTACATTCCTGATTGTATAGTTTATTTATTATTATGATTGTTTGTTGTTGTTTGACAGTGGCGACACTGAAATAATGCTGCAGAGAGGAACAGTGGCTACCAAAGTAATGGTCATCTCTCCTGGATCCACAAGAACATTTATTTTCTTTTTCTACGTTTTTTGTATTCATGTTGATATTGACATTGCTCTTTGAAATAAAGATATTTGATTTTGAAGTTTTTATTGCTTATTTTGCATAATATTCACAATAATGCATATGTCTGTAGCCCTGAGAAATAACGGTATGATGCTGGCGTCCCTGCTTCCAGCTCTTTACCGTAAATTATAGAAATACAGACATATACCGTTTTTCTGGTTTACAGACTACTACCGTAAAGTCATTTTACATACAAATACCGTAAAAATAACAGTATGATGCTGGCATCCCTGCTGCCAGCTCTCTACCGTAAATTATAAAAATACAGACATATACCGTTTTTCTGGTTTACAAACTACTACCGTAAAGTCATTTTACATACGAATACCGTAAAAATAACGGTATAATGCTGGCATCCCTGCTGCCAGCTCTTTATTGTTATTTTAAAGGAAAAGTGTTTACAGTGTATGTATACACTCAGATATATATGTAAACACATTCATAAATCAAAAATGAATGAAATTAACAAATTGGTAAATGATTAGAGAGGGAAGAGGAAAAAAAATAGGAGGTAGGTAATATTCTCAGTTAATTTGGTTTGACTGATAGGTGTGACACTCAAAACAGAACTATGGACAATGAGGACTAAGGACAGTAACAATAATGAAGTAAAAAGCAGCTTTGTTATATTTCTAGAAGTTTGTGGGAATGTGTGTGGCCTTGGCCTCAGGTATCAGGTTTAAGTTAAAAGAGATTAGAAATGGATACCACGTGTCAGTGATGGTTGGTATATTATTCTTATGGGTTGATGATATTTTCTCTAATGTGATATATTCTATAAGAAGGTTGGTCCAGTGGCTGATGTGTAATGAAATTTTTTGATTTCCAGTTTAGAAAGACTGTTTTCTTGGCAATAGTTAGAGAGATAAGAAGTAGGTTTTTATATTTAATTGGTAGGTTGTCAATTTCTGTGACATTATCGAGCAGGCAGAGTGACAGGGATGGGTGGATTCTACAGCTCAAAATGATGGAGAGTTTCTCAGTCACCGCTACCCAGAGGGAGTAAATGGGTTGAGAGGTCCAAGTACCATGAAAGTAATCATCTGCGCAATCCAGAGTGCATTGTGAGCAGGTATCTGTATCAATGAAACCCATTTTAAACATTTTGCCTTGTGTGATGTGAGTCCTGTGAATAGTCTTGCATTGTATATGCTGTAAGTTTATATTGGCAGTCATGGAAAAGATATTACAAATCTCAGTCCAGAAGTCGGGGCTTGGGGGGAGAGATAAATCCGTTTCCCATTTAGTCACTGGTAATGTTATTGTTCCATCTGTATTTGACATTAGTTTATAAAGTTTAGATTTAATATTCTTTGAGTTTGTAAATTTCATTATCTCCTCAGCTAACATGGAAGGTTGCAGGGGGTTGTTGATTAAATTGATCTTTGATTTAATTATGGATTTTAACTGTTGGTACTGGAGAAATTCTCCTCTCCCAACTTCGTACTTCTGGACTAATATGTTAAATGGTATAAACTGGTTGTTTTCAAATAGATGATGAAGGTGAGTGATTCCTGTGTGTTGCAATGTTGGAAAGTAGATGGGATTATTATGAATTTGAAAGTCAGGGTTATGTCAAATTGGTGTTAATGCTGATTTTGTGGCTGACCAGGCTGTCAGAGTTGCATAGATTGTGATATTTTTGAAATAGTTCATTTTCTTAATTGAGTATGGTAGGAAGACAAGGTCTGCAACTGAAGTATTTTTGCATTGATTTTGTTCTAGTTCTATCCATGAGCTATTACAACTATCCTTCTGAATCCATTTAACTACAGTCAGAGAAAAAATTATTTGAACCCCAGCTGATTTTGTTAGTTTGCCCACTAACAAAGAAATGATCAGTCTACAATTTCAATGGTAAGTTTATTTGAATAGTGAGAGGCTTAACAACAACAAAAAAATCCATATATATGCATTACAAAAAAAGTTATACATTAATTTGCATTTTCATGAATGAAATAAGTATTTGATCCCCTATCAGTCAGCAGGATCTCTGGCTCCCAGGTGTATTTTATACAAGTAACGAGCTGACATTGGGAGCCCTCTCAGCTCGTTACCTGTATAAAAGAGACCTGTCCACAGAAGCAATCAATCAATCCAGATTCCAAACTCTTCACCATGGCCAAGACCAAAGAGCTTTCCAAGGATGTCAGGGACAAGATTGTGGACCTACACAAGGCTGGAATGGGCTACAAGACCATCGCCAAGCAGCTGGGTGAGAAGGTGACAACAGTACTACGCTGTGAAGGACTGAAATCCTGCTGTGCCCGCAAGGTTCCCCTGCTCAAGAAATCACATCTACAGGCCCGTTTGAAGTTTGCCACTGAACATCTGACTGATTCAGAGGAAGACTGGGTGAAAGTGTTGTTGTCAGATGAGACCAAAATCGAGCTC